AAAACTGGACACAGCCCTGATCCTTGTAACACATTGCTGCTCACAGGCCTCAAGTCTGAACAACAACCCTGCACCACCACCCTCTGTCTCCCACTGTTAAGCCAATTTTGTATCCAATTGGCAAGCTTTCTCTGGATCCCACGTGATCTAAACTTACTAACCAGTATACCATGTGGAACCTTGTTGAAGGCCTTGTTAAAGAACATTTGGATAACATTTACTGTTCTTTCACACTCTTCATCTCTCTTCTTGGTCACCTGTTCAAAAAAACTTGGAAATCTTACATTTGGTTCCCTTATTCAGGTCATTCGCTGAGGCCCAAGAACTGATCCTTACAATACTGCACTTGAACTGCCTGCCACACATTCTCTCACCTTACTAATTCTTTGGAATATATCTATCCTGTATATTCTGAAATATTCCCTTAAATATCTGCTATTGCACCTCTATTGACCTAATTATTTCTCTAATGTGGAGTTCACTTCAGCAAGATTTAGTTTCTTGCCTTCATAACTGTTCTTACTTAAGTTTAAAATACTAGTCTTGGACCCACTTCTCTCTCCTTCAAACTGAATGCATATAATATTATGATCACAGCAACCCGAGGCACATTTACTATGAGGTCATCAGTTAATCCTACCTTGTTGCATAATACCAGATAACCATGCCGGTTGTCTGGTTGACTTTAAAAAATACAGTTCTAAGAAACTGTCTTCAAAACATTCTATGGATCCCTCTTCAAGGTTACTTTTGCTCGTCTGATTTTTCTAGTATGAGGATTGAAAACTACCATGATTATCAGTGTGCCTTACTAATAAGCTCCCATTATTTCTTCCTTTACACTCCATTCTGTCATGTTACTTTTCAGGAGCCTGTATATCACTGCCATAGGTGACTTCTTGCCTTTGTCGATTCTCATCTTAACAAAAATCACTTCCACTTCCTGGTTTTCAAAGCCTAGATCTCCTCTCTATTGTGCTAATGCAAGAATTAACTCAGAGCCACCGCACCACCTTTTCTCAAATTCTTGCCCTTTATAAATGTCCTGTACTTTCAAGATTCATGTCCCAATCTATGTTACCCGGTAACCATGCCCCTGTAATGGCTATCAGATCATAGTTCTTTATTTCTATGTGTGCATTCAGTTCATTTGTTCCAATGCTAAGTAGATTCGGATATGGTGTGATGATACCATCGTTTAAAAGGTGTATTTTGTCTTTTTTTTTTGAAGACAGGTTTTAAGACCGAGTTACAAACCTGTCTTTTGAAAGCCAATAAAGTAAACATCTTGTGAGGCTTTGGGTTTTTTTTTAAAGTTGTAACAATAGAAACAACACGAAGGGGTGGAGTCAGGCTCTCACAGGACCAGGAATTTTTTAGTTTAGCTTTCAGTAGTTTTGAAGCTGCCACACATCGCTCCTTACTACAACAAAATGCATGAGTTTGCTCTCTCTGCTAGAATTTTCTCTTGATGTTTCTCCTCCTGAACTGGAGAAACATTGCATGTGAGACAATCTATTTTACTGAATTTGCCTTCGCCAAGGGTGTGTTTATGAGACGTTACTATATTGGAACAGTTGCTGTTTAGTAGTTAAATAATCTATTGTTCTTTCAAATTTTCCTATTGCATTAAAGTTATACTAATTCTTCTTTCTTGTGTTTGTATTTTAACTGTAGGGTGAGAATAAAGCATACTTTGCTTAAAGCCGAATAGTGTAACCCATTGAATTACATCCGGAACACAGCACCTCACCTTTACCTTTAAACAAGATAAAAGTTAGTGCCCAGGCTATCTCCTTGATATATTTGAATAATAGGGCCATTTGTTTAATCCTTTATTACTTCTGTAACCTTTAGCCTTATCTAATGATTCACTCTGAAGTGTGAACTGTCTATCTCTCCTATCAGGGAATCAAGGGTTATGAGAAAAAGGCAGGAAAGCAGGATTGATCAGGTTATCTGATCAGCCATGATCTTGTTGAATAGCACAGCAAATTCAATGGGCTGAATGACCTACTTCTGCACCTATGTTTATGCCCTGATGGGTTTATCCCAACACTCCAGATCCAATATTCCCTCTTTCCAGTACCTCCCACACCAGTCTTTGAGCCCCACATGCATTTCTCTAATTTTATTTACCTTATGTCAATTTGCATATGGCCCAGGTAACAATCCAGTGTTTATTACCATTGAGATTCTGCTTTTTAATTTGGTGCCTAGCTCCTCATACTGAGTGCATCTCTCCTTGTCCTACTTATGTTGTTGGCACTTCCACAGACAATGATGACTGGATCCTCCCTACCCCACTGCAAGTTCCTCTCAGGCCTGAGCAGTTGTCCTGAACCATGGCATTGAACGGGCAGCAGACCATCTGGTTTCCTGCTAGTTTCTGCAGAGAACAGTGTCAACCACCCCTCACTATACTCTCCCCACCTAATGTCACATTCCTCTTTTGCTCCCTCCCCTTAAATGGCTTCTTTTACCATGGTCAGTTTGTTCATCACCCTGCAACCCTCTCTCTCATCCAAACAAGCTGAAGGAACCTTAAACCTGATGGACAATTGCAAAGGCCAAACTCCCACTGTCTGGGTCTCTTTATGTGCCTTACTTGCTGAGACACTCTACTGTTGTTGACTATTGACCATAGCAACTAATGGGTGTGGCTGGGTCTTCATTACTGTTATTTTGCTTTTGATAAATGTTGTTGAGTCTATGTCTCTATTTCAAAATTAGTTTCCTGGTGATGTTTGGCATGCTGACATTCCGTGTTATACTGTAAATACTGACACAAAGTAATGATTCAATATGTCTGCCATTTCCTCATTTTCACTGACAATCACTGTGGTGAGTTTGCAATGGCCCTCATTGCTCTTGATCACGTTTTTCTTAATATGCTTGTGAATTTTTATGTCAGTATTGATACTGTTGATGTACACACTGAGGAATGTGATTATTTGTCACCTGCTGTGTGATTTTACCATGCTCACATTTTGAGTGGCCATAATTATCAAAAAGTAAAAAAAAAGTGTTATCTGTTGGTAAGCTGAAACAAATTCTGGAAAAGTTCAGCTTTTTATCTTTTCAACCATATCTTGTTTCCCATTTAAGCACTTTACAAGCCATTTGATTTCCATTATGGGGGTGTATCTGCTTTCCCACAGTCAGGAAACCCTGTAACTTGATATGAGTGCTGCTGTGCTAAACTGTATCAACCTCACACTCAAATATTTCCATTATTGTTCCTCTGATTATCTGTTAACCTTTACTTCCAATTGAACTATGCTAACTCCTCTCTCATTCTACATTAGTTTGCTCAACTCCTATCAACTTCTGACCCTGTAGATTCCTTCCCTGCATTGATGTTACACAGAATTTATATTGCAGAAACATTCACTGTGGGCCAATTGCTAATGTTTATGCTGAATATGAGCTTCCTCCCTTTGTGTTTCATTTAACTGTATCATCATTGCTTTCTGTTCCTTTCTCTCTCATGTGCTTTCCAACTTACTTTTAAACCCATCTATTCTATGCAGCTCAACTACTCCTTGGGTTTCCTTATGTGTCTCACTTGCAGTCACACTCCACTGTCCCTGATCATAGACCAAATCAAATGAAGGGTGCAACTGCTTCCTGATACATAGCAAACAAGTAATTTTCCCTCACTCTGAAATCCCACAGGTCCCACATGCTTAACGTTCTCTTGTGAAATTCTGTTGATCCCCAACCCTCACTCCCACATTCCTTCTTCCTCTTTATGTTTTATTCTTTCATGGGATGTGGGCAGCACTGGCTAGGCCATCTTTTGTCGCTTGATCCTAATAACCTTTGGAAAGGTGATGGTGAACTGCCTGCTTGAGCTGCTGCAGCCCATGTGGTGTAGGTATACCCACAGTGTTGTTATACAGGGCGTTCCAGGCCTTTGACACAATGGTGAAGGAATGATGATAAAGTTCCACATTATGATGGTGTAGTTTGGAGTGGAATTTGCAGGTGGGGGTGTTTCCTTTCATCTGCTATCTTTGTCCTTTTAGGTGATGGGGTCAAGTATTTGGAAGGTGCTTCCAAATATAAATGAAAACAAAGCAAAACACTATTGAATGAATGATTATTTTCTCAAAAAATAAAAAACAAAATCTTGAAAAAATGAACAAATTTGTACAATATTCAACAGATGTGAAAATTCTATCAAACCTTTTAGAGTTGCTCAGGGAACCCGGTTGAAAACATTGCTTTGAGGAAAGATGTTGCTCCTGAATTCCTTGTACATTTATTGTTTATTCATATGTAAAGTGTTTATTTAGCTTCTACCACAAATAGAAACTTCTTCTTAATCTGCACTTTTCCATTCTTCCTGTTGCTAAACAGTTCAGAATCATTAATCGGGACTGTGTCCAAAGTTGCATCTTTCTTTGTATACTTAATTGTATGGTGTTCCAGAAAACCAGTCTTGAATATATTCTTAATTTTGCCTGAATTTTACTTACAAAATATTTTTCCCCTCTGAAAGCTGACACCTTTTCTATCGCTCTCCACACATTTTCTATCTCTTTTGTTGAGTTCCCTGTTCAGCCATGGGCAAAGACAAGTTTCAGTTAAAGCAACAACATTTTACTTTTTACAGCTACAACAAAAACACTCCTTGGAGTTAAACAATTTAACAGAGAGGCTTAGGTAGGAAATTCCTCAGCCAACCTCCAATTGAATGATGAAAGAAAGGGTAATCTTCAGACAATGTCACTAAGCAACAGCATGGGATAAAGAGGGGAGCAGGAAGAGATTGCTGTGGAATTTGAGATGTAATAGTTTAGTGATAGGAAGGCCATAACACCATAAGATACAGGAGCAGAATTGGGCCATTGAGCCCATCAAGTCCACTCCTCCATTCAATCTCCTAATGTTTCTCAACCCCATTCTCCTGCCTTCTCCCTGTAACCCTTAACACCCTTACTAGTCAAGAACCTATCTAAGAGGTAGCAAGAAATGCAGATGCTGGAGTCAGAGTCAATACAGCGTGGAGCTGGAGGAACACAGCAGGTCAGGCAGCATCAGACGAGCAGGAAAGTCGATGTTTCGGGTCGAACCTAACTACCTGTCTTAATTACAATCAGTGACTTGAACTCTGCAGCCTTCTGCAGCAATGAGTTGCACAAATTAACCACCCTCTGGCTGAAGAAACTCCTCCACATCTTAATTCTAACGGGTCATCCCTTCACTCCGAGGCTGTGTCCCTGGGTCCTAGCCTCTCCTGCTAGTGGAAACGTTTTCTCCACGTCCACTCTATCCAGGCTTCTCACTATAAGCAAGATAAGGAAGATAAGCAATTTCTGAAGAAACCTTGACTATAATTGGAAAAGGTATATTACTACTTTTTTTTTCCTTTTCCCTAGTTTCATCTCTCACATCTCATACTTTAGCCTATATACATTTTGGTCTTTCATTCTCTTTACTACTGGTACCCTTCGCTCTATTTCAATTCTACATTGCTGTACTTGCGCATTTTCCCTCAAAGATAAATCTCACTATTTTACATTCTTCTCAACAATGCAGTCATCCAATCATGCAATTCTTGCTCCTCTCATCATACAGGGATTTCATCATGAGCAGCAAGTATTATAGGGCTCAATTAGAGGAAGTATTTTTGAATTCCTGTGTTATGTGGAAGAGTTTGGCTCTATGACAAATTATCTGGGAAGAGGGGAATGTACAGGCATTGCATCAGTTTTAGACATGTAGAAAAGTTTCAAGTAAAGGTTATTTTGGTTATGAGAATTTGAACTTGACCTTTCCAATATTATGATGTTGATGAACCTGCATTTTCTATTTTCTTCCAAATCCGACATTTACCTTTTCTTTTCTTATGAACAGTGGAGAGAAAATTTCCAATGACATTGAGCAAAAACCTTTGGCTATCATATGCAATGAAGAGAGAGAAGAGACCTAGGAGTCTCCTTAGAAATAAGTTGGCCTTTTTTAAAAATAGTACATACCCTGAATTAGAGTAGTTTGAAAGAGTTTGAGGTGGCAGCAAATTGAACGTTTCTGTTAAATGGAAACATGCATCTCTGGCTCATCCTCAGCTTTCACTTCTGTTTGAATGTAATTGTCCTCAATGTATCCATCATCTTCGTCTAGACCATGAGGTGGATACATTGTTGTATCTCTGATGTTCTCCAACTCACTAGTGCGTGGCAAGTTCACATTAAATATGTCGTGGTCTTGGCTGATGGCGTCTTGCTCTGGTAACAGCTGGTGACTGTAGCTGGTGAGGTATTTGTGAAAGAGTTTAAATTTCACACCAATTGCAATCAAGGCTGAGAAGGCGATAGCAATGACCAAAACTCCGATAAGATAGTACCATTCCTTGCCGCCTTCAGCTTGTGGTGCATCTGAAGCTGGAAGTTTCAATAAAGTAGTGTTAATAAAATATTAAACAACATATACGTCAATCCATGTTTGTGTGTTGATTTTGGAGAAACATTTGTCTTAATTTGGCATGAAAGCTATACAGAATAACAGCGGGGGGGTACAACACCACTGACTTATGGGAGTGAAAATCTGCATGTGAGGTATCTGAACCTGAAACGTGAATACAACATTTGTCAACAAAGAAGAAAAAGTTATGAATAGATGGGAATACTGATGTTTTTGCTCTCAACAGCTTCATGCCTCTCTCTACTAAAACAGTGAACAAATTTTAATCACAAATTACAATAAAAACATCATGGCAAATTTATTGATTATTTTTCAGTTAGTTCGGTCTCAATACCAATTGGGTGTTATTGGCTGACCAGCATTTATTGACCATCCCTAATTGCACTTGATAAGGTTGTGGTGAGCTGCCTTCTTGAAACGCTGTAGTCTATCTGCTGTGGGTTGACCCACAATGCCCCTGTGGAGAGAATTCTAGGATATTGACCCAGCAACAGTGAAGGAACAGCGATATATTTCCAAGTCAGGATGACAGAGACTTGGAGGGGGACTTGAAGGTGGTGGTGTTCTCACGTATCTGCGGCCCTTGTCCTTCTAGATAGAAGTGGTCATGGGTTTGGAAGGTGCTGTCTGGGGGTCTTTCATTAATTTCTGCACTGCATTTTGTAGATAGTACATACTGCTGCAGCAAAGCATTGGTGGTGGAGGGAGTGGATGTTTGTGGATGTGGAGCCAATCAAGTGGGCTGCATTGTCCTGGATGGTGTCAAGCTTCTTGAGTGTTGTTGGAGTTGCATTCATCCAGTCAAGTGGGGAGTATTCCATCACACTCCTGACTTGTGCCTTGTAGATGGTGGATAGGCTTTGACGAGTCAGGAAGTAAGTTACTTGGTGCAGTATTCCTAGCCTCTGACCTGCTGTTGTAGTCACCCTGTTTATGTGGTCAGTCCAGTTGAATTTCTGGTCAATGGTAACCCCCAGGATGTTGATAGTGAGGGATTCAGTGATGGTAATATCACTGAATGTCAAGGGGCGGTGGTTAGATTGTCTTTTATTGGAGATGGTCATAGCCTGGCATTTGTGTGGCACAAGTGTTACTTGCCAATTGTCAGTCCAAGCCTGGATACTGTCCATATTTTGTTGCATTTGAACATTGACTGTTTCACTATCTGAGGAGTCATGAATGATTACAGAATGTTCAGCATCATCGGTGAGCATCCCTTCTGACCTTATGATGGGGAAAGGTCATTGATGAAGCAGCCGAAGATGGTTGGGCTATGGACATTACCCTGAGAAACTCCTGCGGAGATGTCCTGGAGCTGAGATGACTGACCTTCAACAACCATAACCATCTTCCTATCTGACAGGTATGAATCCAACCAGTGGAGAGTTTGTCCCTGATACTCATTGATTCCAGCTTTGCTGGAGTTTCTTGATGCCACACTCGATCAAATGCAGCTTTGATGTCAAGGGCTATCATTCTCAGCTCACCTCTGGAATTCAATTCTTTTGTTCATGTTTGAACCAAGACCGTAATGAGATCAAGAACTCATTAGCCCTGGTGGAACCCAAACTGGGTGTCACTGAGCAGGTTATTGCTGAGCAGGTGCTGCTTGATAGCGCTGTTGATGACACCTTCCATCACTTTACTGATGATCAAGAGTAAACTGATGGGGCTTTTAATGGCCAGGTTGGGTTTGTGTACAGGGCACACCTGGGCAATTTTCCACATTGTCAGGCAGATGTCAGTGTTGTAACTATATTGGAAAAGCTAGTCCAGGGGAATGGCAAGTTCTGGAGCACCAGTCTTCAGGACTATTGCCGGAATGTTGTCAGGGCCCATGGTCTTTGCAGAGTGTTGATCTGATCTGCTGGCTGTGGGATCACTTAGCTCTGTCTATCACTTGCTGCTTATGCTGTTTGGTGTGCAATTTGTCCTGTTTGGTGGCTTCACCAGGTTGACACCTCATCTTCAGGTATGCCTGGTGCTGTTCCTGGCATGCCCTCCTGCACTCTCCATTGAACCAGATTTGACCCCCAGCTTGATGGTAATGGTTGAGTGGGGGACATGCTGGGCCATGAAGTTACAGATTGTGTGCTGGAGTACAATTCTGCTGCTGTTGATGGTCCACAGTGCCTTATGGATGCCCAGTCTCGAGATGCTAGATCTGTGCGAAGTCTGTCCAATTTAGCATGGTGATCATGCCATAAAAAGCAATGGAGATTATTCTAAAAGTGAAGGTGGGACTTTAGAACATAGAACATAGAACATAGAACATTACAGCGCAGTACAGGCCCTTTGGCCCTCGATGTTGCGCCGACCTGTGAAACCAATCTGAAGCCCATCTAACCTAAACTATTCCATTATCATCCATATGTTTATCCAATGACCATTTAAATGCCCTTAAAGTGGGCGAGTCTACTATTTTTGCAGGCAGGGCATTCCACGCCCTTACTACTCTCTGAGTAAAGAACCTACCTCTGACATCTGTCCTATATCTATCACCCCTCAACTTAAAGCTATGTCCCCTCGTGCTAGCCATCACCATCCGAGGAAAAAGACTCCCTCTGTCCACCCTATCTAATCCTCTGATGATCTTGTATGTCTCTATCAAGTCACCTCTTAACCTTCTTCTCTCTAACGAAAACAGCCTCAAAACCCTCAGCCTTTCCTCATAAGACCTTCCCTCCATACCAGGCAACATCCTGGTAAATCTCCTCTGCACCCTTTCCAATGCTTCCACATCCTTCCTATAATGCGGTGACCAGAACTGTACGCAATACTCCAAGTGCGGCCGCACCAGAGTTTTGTACAGCTGCAACATGACCTCATGGCTCCGAAACTCAATCCCTCTACCAATAAAACCTAACATACTGTACACCTTCTTAACAACGCGATCAACCTGGGTGGCAACTTTCAGTGATCTATGCACATGGACACCGAGATCTTTCTGCTCATCTACACTACCAAGAATCTTACCATTAGCCCAGTACTTTGTATTCCTGTTACTCCTTCCAAAGTGAATCACCTCACACTTTTCCACATTAAACTCCATTTGCCACCTCTCAGCTCAGCTCTGCAGCTTATCTATGTCCCTCTGTAACCTACAACATCCTTCTGCACTATCCACAACTCCACCGACTTTGGTGTCATCCGCAAATTTACTAACCCATCCTTCTACGCCCTCATCCAGGTCATTTATAAAAATGACAAACAGCAGTGGCCCCAAAACAGATCCTTGAGGTACACCACTAGTAACTGAACTCCAGGATGAACATTTCCCATCAACCACCACCCTCTGTCTTCTTACAGCTAGCCAATTTCTGATCCAAACCGCTAAATCACCCTCAATCCCATGCCTCCGTATTTTCTGCAATAGCCTACCATGGGGAACCTTATCAAACGCTTTACTGAAATCCAAATACACCACATCAACCGCTTTACCCTCATCCACCTGTTTGGTCACCTTCTCGAAGAACTCAATAAGGTTTGTGAGGCACGACCTACCCTTCACAAAACCGTGTTGACTATCCCTAATCAAATTATTCCTTTCTAGATGATTATAAATCCTATCTCTTATAATCCTTTCCAACACTTTACCCACAACCGAAGTAAGGTTCACTGGTCTATAATTACCAGGGTTGTCTCTACTCCCCTTCTTGAACAAGGGGACAACATTTGCTAGTCTCCAGTCTTCTGGCACTATTCCTTTGTCTCCATAAGGACTGTGCAGTGGTCAGTCTTACCGATACTGTCATGGACAGATGCATCTGCAGCTGGCAGATTGGTAAGGATGAAGTGAGGTTTTTTTTCCCTCTTGTTGGTTCCTTCACAACCTGCTGCAGCCCCAGTCTAGCAGCTCTGTCCTCTAGGACCTGACCAGCTCAATCAGCAGTACTGTTGCTCAGCCACTCTTGGTGGTACACATTGAAATCCCCCACCCAAAGAACATTTTGTGCCCTTGCCATCCTCAGTGTTTCCTCCTAGTGTTGTTCAACATAGAGGAATATCGATCCATCAGCTAAGGAAGACAGTACATGGTAATCAGCAATAAGTTTCCTTGCCCATGTTTAACCTGAAGCCATGAGACCTTCATGTTAGTACAGATGTTAGTACAGAGGACTTTGGAATGGTTTGACAATGTGGTATTTGTTGTCTTTCAAGGTATACAAAGTTTATTTTAAGCAACCAGCAATGTGGACTTAAGTTATAAATATTGGGCCTAGCCCAGGAATTCTCAACATTCAGATCTTGCTTCATAGGAGACTTTGTTCTGATTATAGAAAATGCTTACTTTCCTGTAAATACAGATTTTTAAAAATCACTGGGAGAAAGCCTGAGCTATTACTGACATCACTAACTCACCCTCAAAATTGCCTCGAGATCATTAGGGGATTCTATAAAGAAAAGCACAGGCAAAATATTGATTTCAATAAATAGTTGAATTAACAAATAAATTAGACAGATTTCTGTGGACTGTAATGTGCTGGCAGCAACTGCAGAGGTGTTTTGGCAAGGAAAGCACAAAGCAAGTAACAGCAGCCTGTTCACTGATTGTGAAATAATTTATTAGATTACAGTTATAGTTGTATAAGTCATTGGTGAGGCCACACTTGGAGTATTGTGTACAGTTTTGGTCACCTTGTTATAGGAAAGACATAGTTAAACTGGAAAGTGTGCAAAGAAGCTTTACAAGGATGTTGCCAGGACTAGTAGGACTGAGTTATAGGGGGAGGTTGGTCAGGATAGGACTTTATTGTTTGGAATTTAGGAGAATGAGAGGTGACCTTATTTGAGGCGTATAAAATCATGAGGGACATAGATAGGATAAATGCAAATAGTCTTTTTCCCAGGGATGGGGAAATGAAAACTGGAGGGCATAGGTTTAAGGTGAGAGAGGAAAGATTTAAGTAGGGCCTGAGGGGCAACTTCTTCACACAGAGAGTGATGCGTATATGGAATGGGCTGCAGGTACAATAGCAACATTTAAAAAACATTTGGATAGGTACGTGAATGGGAAGGGTTTAAAGGGATATGGACCTAATGCTGCCAATTGGAACTAGCCGAGAGCTCACCATGGTCAGAATGGACCAGTTTGGGCTGAAGGGCCTGTTTCCATGCTGTACTACTCTATTAGGAGGGTAGTTAGCAAAAATATTGGACCTTCCTTAATCAACGTAGAATGTGCAATGCAGCAGGTAGTCGTGTAATGTATTCTTAATACTCTTAATCTGCCTATATAGTATTTCAACCTTGTATTTTCACCCTCGAACAATCTGATCAATGTAGATTGTTCAGTAAAACGTGGAGCACATCATGACATAAGACATTTTATAATACTACTCAATAACATTAAAAGAGTTATCTCAAATTCCCCAACCAAGTCCATCACCTTGTATATAAGACCAGGAATCACAAATACAGCGTGGAGAATAACTAATGATCTGTGACTGTTGTCCTAGACCCAAATCCCAAAAAAAAAATGTGGATGTTAGGGCTTCCAAAACAGTGGAGTCTCTCGACAAGATTTTGGTGTGACGAGCTCTGAAGCAGCAATAGCTACCATGAAACTCAGGCTGATACCTGACAGCTGAGTGGCCTTTTTAAAATATTCACATTTTTATCCACTGGAGGGTATGGCCTAATTGACTGCTCACTGTCTGAGGATCTGAAACATTAACTCTGATTTCTCTCCACAGATGCTGCCAGACCTGCTGAGATTTTCCACCAATTTCTGTTTTTGTTTCTGATTTCCAGCATCCGCAGTTCTTTCGGTTTTTATTTGATATTGTCAGGAGTTCTGTTAGTGT